TATGAAAGGCGTCTGTACGGAGAGGGATCAGATAGCAACAGGGACTGTGTGAGGGTTTGAACTCGGTCGCAGACAGCCCCGTGGGATGATCTCTTCCTTGTTCTTTGTGCTCTGAACATAACTTGCAACGCCTGGCAGATGGGAAGGGAGCCGGCTGGGAAGCTGAGAGAAACGCCCTTCTTGTTCCGTCTCGCTGGTCTGCAAGAGGAGGGGACGGGGTTTGTAGGGTCACAGTGGGCCACACTTCTGAGCGGATTAGGTCACTGTACCTGGAAAGGTTACGGAGTGGATCTGCCTCTTCCACTTTCTGCTTCAGTGAGTCTGAGGCGAGAAGCTGCCAAGACACTTGTCTACAGTTTTAATTTGCTACGGGGCCTGTGTGCTTGCAGGAGAGAGGCAGAGAGAGGGGAAAAAACGGTGAGAAAGTACCCGACCGGGCGATGGCCGTGCTCCAATCCCTTCCCCATTCTTCTCTCAGGATTTCTGGCACACATGCACATGTGCCTGGCACATTTCTCAACCTGCTGGGCTGGGCTTCAAACTAGGTAGGCCACGCGGGATCTGGCTGCCTTAATTAGCAGGCCAAAGATATGGCCTGCCCCTTCTTTCTCTGGAGCAGTTCTTTTCAAATTTAATTTAAATTTTTCATTGCCAGAGGGCATGTGCACTTGACAGAAAGAAAAACAGAGAGATGGGAGGGAGCCACCCCCACGAGGGCGTGGCCACACTGCAATTCCTTTTTCTCCATTTCTCCATCTCATCAGTATTTTGGGTGGGCATGCATGCCACACATGTCCAGCATGTTCTTTCAAACCGCTGGGGGTGGGATTCAAACCATCGTCAGCCACGTGGGATCTAATTCCCTTAACCACCAAGCCACAGGGCTGGCTCTCTCTGGTGCTCTTCTGTCATGAAGCTAAATGAGAAAACTTTGAAGTCTGGGCACCTGGCTCTCTCTCCACTTCCCCTTGCACATATATCAGGATCCTCTTTTAATTCTTGGTCTCCTTTCAGAGTCCATTTCCTTACCCTCGAGTGTGGACTAAGTGCCTGGCTGTGGTGGTCTCCCCTTTGCAGCTAGTCACAGTCTCTATAGGTGTGGTCACTCCCAACCGTTCGTCAGAGTGTGCTCCAAAGCAGCCATTCTCCTCCACCCTAGGGTATGGAGAGCAGCCTGCAGGCGATTTGGAACTGGGTGCATCCCTTGATGGTGGGCGAGTGGGATGGCCTAGTAGATGAGGCCCTACCACCTCATTCCTGCCTTACCCTGTCTCTGGTCTCCTTTGCGATCTGGGCAGTGATCGACTACGACGACTCCTCGGCTTGCAAGTCCTCGGGTCTGAGGATCTCTGCAGCAGGTACGTGGCGCCTCCCCACCCTTCCTAATGAGCCTGCCCCTGTGGATTCCCCTCCCAAGGCTGTGCCATCTCCAGTCCCATCACGCCATCTTGGTTACACCCATGAGATCACACTGACCACACTGGATTCTGGCCTCCACTTGGGCTTGCTCTGCCTTGAGCTCTGTCTGCAGAACAACTAAGAATCAGGTCCAGGGCAAATTTTGAAACCCTGCTATAAGTTACAGGAATGACCGAAAGAACTCAGGGTTCCTGGCTCTGAGAAGGGAAGTCTGAATGGTCACCATCTTCAAATTTGAACTGTGGTCGACTACATGGGAGTCCAGCGACATAGCCATTACGCCAACTGCTGGTCCCAGGTAGCAGGGTTTTCTTCTCTTTGATGGGATTTAAACAAATGATGAATGGCCACTTGATTCCAAAGAGAATAGGGGGGTTTAACCAGGCGGCTACCCTAGGCAAAGCCTTGCTGATTACAAAATACTTTCTCAAACAGTTCAGGTTAGAGGGAATTTTTGGAAAGAATTGAACTGACATTGAATCCAAGGAAAAATCTGAATGCTAGTCTGCAGGAAGGGTGGAAACAGTACCATTTCCAAGACAGAGCCCCGCCGGGATGACTCCACTCCCAGCTCTCTGACTCTGGGCTTTACACTTCCAATTCTTTCCCAAGAGTCTGAAGGCTATTGGCAAAGAACATGGATATGACTTGCCCTGGGTCAGGCGCTTGGGTTCAATCCGCTAGTTCTCTCAGCGAATCACTCAGGAGAGTAGTCTCATGATCCAAACATAAAGCATTCAAGTACGGGGAAAAAAGTAAAACATACAGGAAACAAGAAATGGAAAATTATTTGTTGACAATTACATGTATGTTGATGTGCTTGATTGAGACAATATACAGTGTACTCTGGATGGAAAATCTCATTTTGTATGCTGTAATGATGTACAGTGAAGGAATGTAAATAAAAATATATATATATTAAAAAAAAACAAACATGGTGAGAGGCCAGCCATGCTGTGGGTATAAAAATTCTCAGAAAGGAGAGGTAGACACCCTTAAATGGTGTTTAAGATCCTATCCAAACCCGGGGCTCACTAACTCGGAGTCAAAAGTAATTTCCAGCAGATGATGTTGTCTCATAGTTGGAAAGAGGTCAGTACTAATTAATATGCACTTGAAGGCATGAGCTTGAATTAAAGAGAGGGGACAGCAGGGGAAGAAGGGGTAGGTGGAGGATGAGTACAGAACACCGACCAACCCCCAGGCCTTGGTGGATGCCTACTGGGACCCTCATCTAGGACAGAGCTACCCTGGGCTGGGTTACTAGTTATACTGCATCTGTGTCTATGCGGGACTTCCCTGTGCCACCATGCAGTTTTCAAAATAAACTTCTAAGTTTTAGAATAGCTTACATTTATGTTTATAATACAGACTTTCCGTATATCCTACACCCAGTTTTCCCTTTTGTTTACACTTTAAATTACTAAAATGAAAAGAATCTGCGAGTTGGTTCAAGAGAGATTTAAAAACATAAACCTACCCCCATTCACACAAGGAAAGAGATGAACCTTCCAATTTCTTTCTTTTTTCGTAGAGGTTTTTTTCTTAGGGCATATGCTCACCTGAGAGAGAGACAGTGAGAAGGAAAGTGAAAAATCAACCCCAAGGAGGGACGGCCATGCCACAATCCCTTCTCCATTCTCCTCCCAAGATCATGGGCACTCACACATACGCACCCAGCATGAGTTTCAAGTCACCAGGTCTGGGACTTGAACCACAGTCGGCCATGTAGGAGTCCAGCAACGTAACCAGTATGCCATCTGCTGTTTCCCAATTTCTTTCTTTAAAAAAAAAAAAGAATAAGAGAGGTGGGACCTTTGGGAGGTAATTAGGTCCTGAGGTCAGAGCCTTCATAAATGGGACTGATCAGACCCCACAAAACTTGCCAACCCCTTCTACCATGTGAGGACACAAGAAAAGGAGCCATCTATGAGGGACAGGTCCTCACCAAACACTGACACCTTGACCTTGGAATGGTCAGAAATGGTCAGAAACAATTTCCTGTTGAGTGTAAGCTCAGTTTATGGTACTGTTATAGCTGTTCAGATGGACTAAGACACTATGGTACACTGTCACTAATCAACTACCATTGTTAATAGGTAGTAACTGGGACCAGCGGGTGGTGTGGTGGCTGAGGCAGTGGGTTCCTGCGTGGCCAACTGCAATTCAAGTCCTGGATCGGCAGCTTAAAACATGCCAGATGTGTGTGCGTGTGTGCCCAAAATCCTCAGAGGACAATGGAAGAGAGGGGATTATGGTGTGGCCATCTCTCTTAATGGGTGATTTCTCACTTTCTCTCTCTCTCTCTCTCTCTCTCTCCTGGTACACACAAGTGCCCTATATAAAAAAATCCAAAACAAAACAAAACAAAAATATAGGTTATTAACTGAACTCTATACTTCATTTGGATTGTATGAGTTTTTCCTTTCAGGATTTTGGGCAACATGCACATGCGCCCAGAATGAGGCTAAGCTGCCGGGTCCAGGACTCAAACTGCAGTGAACTACGTTGGAGGCCAGCAACATAATCATTACACCATCTGCTGGTCCCATGATTGCATAAGTTTTTCCTAATGACCTGTTTCTGTTCCAGGATCCTGTCTAAGGTAACTAAGTAAGAGGCCAGATAACTGTCGCAGAGGCCAGGGTTTACAATCCAGAGAGTAGGACATACTCCCTCCAAGGCTCCACTGGGAAATCCTTCTATGCCTCTTCAGCGTCTGCTGTCTCCAGGCAGTTCTTGATTTGCGGCATCGTAACTCCCATCTCCGTCTTCATCTTCACCGGGCCGCCTTCTTCCTGTGTCTCTGTATCTGCAAGTCTCAGAGCCTCTTCTTGCAGTTGTAAGGACACCCGCCATCTAGGTACTCCCTAAATCCAGGAGAATCTCGTCTCCAAGATAATCTCATTTTTTGAGAGGCTTAATTAATTCTATCTACAAGACCCTACTTCCAAATAAGAGCACACTCACAGGTACTAAGAGTTAGGACTTGGATTTATCTTTTTGAAGGGCACAACAGAACCTAGGGAATACCAAACTACATTTAGTCATCATGTCTCAATGTGACAACTTCTCGCGTTTTCCTATGACTGTCTTCAACAGTTTTGAGGCGTATAAGCCAGGTATTTATTTTATTTTATTTTAATTTTGCTAGAGGGCATGTATGCTTGCTGGAGGAAGGAGACAGAGAAAGAGAGAGAGAGAAAAAGCACTCTCCATGGGTGCCACAGTCTCCTTGTGGTTTGAGTCCTGGACCCAGCAGCTTGAAAAACATTCTGGGCATATGTGCGTGCATGTCCAAACACCTGAGAGGGCAGAGAAGGGATTGTGGCACAGCCACCCCACCAGGAGGTGATTTCTCACTTTCTTGCTCACTTGCTTTTTCTCCATCACAGGTTCTCATGGTCAAATAATTTGGAAGACAGTTCAGACCATATCTGCATGAAGCTCTGACAGGTCCACAGTAAAAACCACCACCCGAAAACCAACCCTGATTTTTAAAAATAATTTATTTATTTATTTATTTATTTATTTATTTTAAAAT